ACTCTTCCAGCCGTTCTCCAAGCCAGAGCAGCTCACTCCAAAAGGGCTCACCTGATTGTACAAAATGTGAAAAAACATCCCCTCAATCCTACCGGCCCTTGGCTGAGAAAAGTCACTGAGCTCAAGGTCAGATCCAAATCTCACTCTCCTCGGGGACAGCCTGCACCCAGAAGCCCATCTCCCTCACCTCCACTTGGGGCAAGCCAGAGGGCCATCCTAGCTTCAGAGACTCCATGCCAGGAGGTTGATCGAGACCTTTGTTGAGCCCAACTTTTCCCTCTACCTCTCTCCCCCATAAACCCCTACATTTAAGTCTATATTTCAGAGTCTACTTCCTTGGACCCCATCCCGTATATCACGTATAACGTGTGCATCTGTATCAGGGAACCTCACAGGGTCCTTGTCCACAATGAAGACTAGCCAATAGAATGTAGGTGTGATGTGGTATCTCCTTGGCCATACTGGGAGTGTCAGATATCACCTGTCCTCCTGTTGCCTGCAGGGGCCATGGGGTGGGCAGACAGACCTCACTGCTTAGGCAGCCAGCAAGGAGCATGGCAGAAGCTAGAGAAACGGGAAGGTTCTGGCCACCCCAGGCAGGCCCTGTTTGTTTTCCCCCAGGGTGGAAGGAATCAATATTTCCCAGCACACTGGTGACCTATTTTACACCATATGATGCTCTGAGCCTATTGCCCCATGGCCTGTGGGGTGGTTTTGCTTTCTGTGTCTTTTGAGGAGCAGATTTGTTCACGGTAGCCCAGGTGCAGCACAGTCCGATGTAAGGGGAGGATGTTCCCTATTTATCTTTCACAGGATGTCAAACAGTCTGGTGGCTGTTTTGTCCAATGGATAAACAGAAGCATGTTGGGCCAGTATCCTCAGGGAGCCGTCCACGATTAGTGCCAGAGAAGACTGCATTGTGTAGGCCAGCTGTGCAATAGAACTTTCTGCGGTGGCGAGAATGTCCTGTATTTGCATTGTCCCTTGCAGTTGCCCTGAGGCTATTGAGCACTGGAACTACGGTTTGTGTGGCTAAGGAGCTCAACGTTTACTTTTATTTCATTTTAATTAATTTAAATAGTCACATGTGGCTAGTTGCCACTTTATTGAACAGTGCAGGTATAGAACCCAAGTGAGAACGTGAAGACTTAGAATTACTTGTTTCTAATTATAAGAATTTCCTGGGGTACACTCCTCACAGTTTACCTGAGAAAGCTAATTATAACACACAGCCCTGGAGATTTTTTTGTGTTCCTGTAGATCATCTATAAAGATGTTAAATGAGAGTCTCCTAACAGTTCCTCAGAACTCCATTCTTTACACTTCTCCAGCAGGCGACATGCCCGTCTAGGCAGCTGTTGATTTCCTCTCTCGAGGTCCGTTCATTTTCATGACAAAATAGCCCTCAAGCTCTGTGCCCCATTCCTCTACTCCGTCTCATCCCACCTTGACACATTTTAACCTTTGGTTTGAAATCTTTTCAGATGCTTCCGAAAAATTAAAATGAATCACACTCACAGGTTCCCAGGCAAACTTATTCTAAATAAACACATTGGTCGGACATGATGTCCCCATGTACGGATCCTGATGTTCTGTCCTTGGTTGGTTATTTCTGCTTGCTGTGCTTAGCGATGCTACCCTCACCATAAACCCCACTTCCTTGGGAAGCAGAGGGGGGTGCACTGGCTGTAACTCCTCTGGGCCCCTTGGGAGTCCTGTTTCTGCAGAGGAGTCATTTGCAATCCTTTAAGTCACTGGCATAGCAGCCGTCTCCAGTGGAAGACATATCTTTACCAGCAGTTGCCTGGTTTTAATTCTTGAGGTTCTCAGGTAAGTGCCACGCTTGATTGGGCCCAACACGTTTGTCTGAACACTTCCAGAGAGTAGAGCACTGTCTGATCCAGCACCTCTGATTTTCCCATCTCAGGGCCCACTTTGGGGAATGGGAGTCTCCTTTATGTCCTCTGAAGGAGAGAGCTGGCTAGACTATCTGTCATTTGTCAGGCCTCTCAACTCGGTAGGAAGCAGGATAATGTAGTCGTTAATTAATGGCTTCTGGAGCTAGCTGCCAAGAGCACAAATCCCATTTCTCTCCCCTCCCACAGTGTGGCTTTGGGCAAGTTATGCCCTCTGTCACAGGAGGGTAATAATAGTCCAACTCTCATGGGGTCCTTATAAGGATAAGGCAAGTTGGTTTGCATAAAGCATTTATTTGCAGCAGTACTTGCAACAAAGTAAGTGCTATCTAAGTACAAGCCATCTTTATTACCATAAGCAGAACTTTTTTCACTGGTTTATTTGACAAACTTCTGGCAAACTTTTTTTCTCTTTGGAAATCACTCAGCAGGCACCCTCTACAGCCTTCTTTGGCGGCTGTATTTCTAGCTTTCACCAAATCTGTCGTACGGTCCGACCATCTCTGTCGGCCTCACTCGCTTCCAGTTAGGCAGCAGGAGGATTTTTCTATCTCTGGGAATCTTGTTTATTTTGCTTTTTGGTGCACACTTTCCTTCAGTTCCAATAATATACTTTAAGAGTTTTAGATTTATAAACGTCTATTTTTACACTCTCATTCTAAAAAAGAATAGATGATAGCGTTTTCTCTCAATTCGGCCCCATGAAACCTCACTTTTCCCTCTTTTTTTTTTTTGCTTTCAGCTCCCAGACCTCCCATTGGGAGTGCCCTGGGTTGTTATGGGCTCCAGGGCCAGGTAATCAATGTTCTGGAGAGTCCAGTTGCGATCCCTGGAAAAGGCAGGGCCAGAGGGGAGCGGGAAGGTGGAGACATGACAAAGACAAATGCACTTTATTGATCAGGCAACAGCATTATACAGGGCTGGGGCAGAGCGCCCAGTGCGCCAGGGCCACACAGAGAGGGGGTCTGATTCACATGGAGACAGAGGCTGAGTGTCCTTCCTCTTCCTTCTGACAAGTCGGTGGCATCACAACCCAGGGAGGGAAGGAAGGAAGGAAGGAAGGGCTCCCGGATCCAGACTCGCTCTGTCTGAAACCCAGGGCTTCCCCCAAGGGACTGGGTCAGCCACTAGGGGAAGGGGATGGGGATCTGAGCTCAAGCGTGGTGTAGTGAAAAGAGCACTGGACTTTGAGTCCAAAGTCTGACCCAGTCCTGACACTACTTCTAACTAGTTCTTTGCGCTTGGGCGAGTCATGCCCTCCTCTAAGTGTTAGTTTTCTTTAACAAGGGGGTTGAACAAGTTTAGCAATTTTCAGGCTTTTTCTCTTACTGAATAACAAGCTGGACCAATGAGTTCTGCAGCGAAAATCAAACAAGGGTGTCTCCCTAGACCCTTGTAAAATAACAACAACAATAATTAATGTACAGAATTTTCACAATGTAAGTTTTTCCTCCATAAATATCTCTGAATCAGTGGTGCCTGCTACCCTCTATATTAGAAAATAGTACAAATGGAGTCTGATTCTGAAAACAACACATATCTAATAAATTTAAGATTAAGCCATATATATGCTACTCTGCAATAAGGAATGTGGCTTTCAGATGATTCTCCCACCTGGAAACTTCTGAGAGACACAGGGCCAGGTGGACACTGACAGCCCTTGCCGTGGTAAGTCTGATTCCTCCTGGGATTTTCAGGGAACTGCAAATGCAGGTGGGAGGCACATCTTCCAGGGGTTTGGCGATCATATTCCCACTGACATTACCTCCCTGGCGGTACACCAAATGTAGCCATGTTCCCCAAACTGAAGTAATGATCTGAAGAACCCTCTATGACCCTCTTGGAAGAACCACCTTCTGGGCTGGTCCCACATACCTGCAACCCATTCTCATGAAGAAATCCCACCCTGGAGGAAACGGATGGAGCATTGCCACTTCCTGGGCTGGGCTGGCTACAGAGAACGTGGAGTCTGAAGTTATATTCCCCCACCCCTGCCTCACAGGCCCCTTTTGACTTTTGGGTGGCAGAGTGAGAATAAGAAGGGAACCAGTCCCACACCCCACGCCCCTCTAGCCTCAAGGCTCTGCTCTCTCTGACGAGCCCCCAGAGGATGCCCCATTCCCCTCCCCCTCTCCCTGGGGAGCCAGAGCGCAGGCTCCAGGCTCTGCAGTGAGCAGTCTTGGAACTACAGCTAGGCAGCAGGAAGGGCAGGCTTGGCTGCTGGGTTTGGGAAAGTTCTCCTATACCCAACGCTGCCCGGGAGAGAAGATGCAGCCCCCACTGGTGAGCAGAGAGGGAGGCACTGCTTCTCCACACTGAGCTGCTGGGAGATCGCGACTTCCAAGAGGGAGGGCTCATTCTCTGCTCTCCCGGTTGGGAGCTAAGGCACTGGCAGGGGGAGGAGTGAAGACCCAGATGGGGAGTTTCTGCAAGCCGGGGGCAATTCAGTCTGCCACGTGAATCGTTAGAAGGAGCACTCCCATGTCAACCAAGTTCTTAGACCCAGGCCAAGGAGCTATGGGCTTGGTGACAGGGACAGCCTATGGCCACCACCCACTACTCTTCTGAGACGCTGATTTTGTCTATTCTCCACTGCCCAGGCCCTGCATTCTTCCTCCTTGGGCCTCTCGACAGGTGGGTTCTGGGCCAGTGGCTCCAGCGCTGGGGAGAAAGCCCACCTCCCCAGACCTGCCGCCTGGGAGAGTATGACTGTGACGATGGACAAAGGTGGGCACCAAGGAGCTAGACAAGTGCCTTTTGGCTAGCAGAGGTGGGGGAGGGAGGAATTAGGCCCTTAGTCACCTTGGTTTTGGTCATCCTTGGCAGTGAGTGTCCTAGACAGGCCAGAGGTGGGGAGGCAGATGAAGGGGACCCTGTCATGGCATGCTGCCTGAAGACAGACAGCGCCGTCTGGCGGCAGGTGAGATGGGAGAGGGTGGGGCTGTGGGCCAGTTATTTATCGTGGGTGGGCAGGGGGAGGGAGATCCCCACCAGGCTCTGGACACATGGGCCTGGAGTGGGGGAGGTACTCTGTCCCTGAGGCATGGGTACACTTCTCCTGCCTGCCTGTTCTCTCAGCACCAGCTAGCAGCCACCTGTGGGGAGGTGGGGGTGTCCCTGGACGAGGCCTTGCCTTCAGCCTCTGCCTTCTGCCCCCACTTGAGTTTCTCTGTCAAATAATCAGCAAGTCTTTATGACTGAGGTCTCATGGGGCTGGGGACAGCCCGTGGCCTGCAGGAAAGGGGGACCTTGGCTTAGGTCGCACAGGAGAGAGGCTGGGCGGGGCAGAGAGGGGAGGTGGCAGAGGAGGGGCTGCACTCCAGAGGGGGTGGGGAGGGCCACTGGGCAGTAGCCAGCCCCAGGCCTGGGCATGCAGCCCCAGAGAAGCAGCTCTGCCCAGGTGCCACCGCAGGCTGCCCTAGTCAGGAGATCTCATTGCCAAACACCTCGAGCACGAGGGGCGTGAGTTTCATGCTGCACTCGGGCTGGAAGGAGAGGCAGCGGTACTGCTTGGAGTGCTCCTCGTTGAGGCTGCGCAGGTCAGCCAGCTTCTGGATCATCTTGGCATAGAGCAGGTGGCTGCCCGGGGGCGGGTGGCGGCAGCGGATGTAGGTCTGCAGCGTGTTGGACAGGCGGTCCTGGATGGCCTCGACCAGCGCGGCATCCTGTACCCCCGGACGGTCTGTGGGCACGGGGGTGGAGGTCAAGACACAGGAGCTCTGAGCTGGGCCCCTAACTACTCAATCTCGCCACCACCCCATCTATGCAGACACCCAACCACAGCACCCCCAGGTCACCATGTAGAGCTGCTGACCTGTGACACCACTGCCTGGCCCAAAGCCCCACAACAACTTCCCATTGCATTTAGGATGGAGTCCCAGGTCCCCTGTCCCCATCTCACCTGGCTCCCTGTCTCTGCTCCGTCCTTCCATCAGTGTCCTGATGCGCCATGCTACCTGGCCTCTAGGCTTCACGTGTGTGTGCCCTCTGCCTGGAACTCAGCTCTTCATTTCTGCCTGACTCTTACTGATCCTTCAGGTGACAGTTCCCTCAAGAAGGCTGTTCCTGACAACCCTCTACGTCCACGCCCCAGACAATCAGGTTCCCTCCCTCTATTATATCCTCCTGTAGTATCACGTCTTTATTTTTTGTAAACTCTCATCATATTAGGAATTAGTTGTTGAACAGCACCTGTTTCATGTCTCCTCCTAAGCCTCATGGGAGAGAAGTCTGTGTCCTGTTTGCTGCGGAATCCCTGTGTCTAGCACAGTGCCTGGTACCTCGTAGGTGCTCAATAAATCACCGAGCGTATGAGTGAATGAGTGCGCGAATGCCGACCAGGCAGGGGGAGGGGAGCCCGAGTCCACTCCCTGGGCCCCCAGCCCTGGAAAACACTCCTGGGCAGAGGCCACTAGCTTGTACCCTGAACACTATCTAGGCAGAGGCAGAGCTGTCCCCCTGTGGGACTTGTCACCAACACATAACATCCCTAAGGCCACAGTAACTTCCTCTTCAGCCTTTTCTCCCTCTTCTCACCCCAAACAAGCAGAAGAAACCAAGGGTCACAGCACGTTGCTTCCAAAATCCGTCCAGTAAACTTGCCTAGGCAGAATGTCCATCGGGCCCCAGGGTTTGGACCCTGCCTCCGAGGAGCCTCAAGTGACAGGAAGGTTTGGCCTAGTTCACACAAGAGTAGAGCCTGAGTATGGGAAGACTCAGGCCTTTCTGTGGCCTGAGGACCCCTGTTCCTCTCGTTCCTCAGAATCCTCCCTGTGGATCACCTACAGTCTCTGTCGGGCAAAGCCAAGGGCAGCGAGGGACCCCTCAACACACACTCTTTGCACTGGGCTGTGCAAACCCAGTAAAGTGGGCGTTTCCTTATCTGCCTCTCCTTTTGCTCACTTCTCCCTGTAGACAACCCTCCTGGCCCTTGGCAGTCTTTGTCACCCTGCCCGCTTCCCAGGTCCCTGAGTTCTTCCCTGCTAGGCCCATACCTGGGGAGACAATGCAGATGGCCATGAGTAGGACATGCTCCTCCTCATGCAAGTTCAGCTTCTTCAGCCCCACCTGGAACTTGATGAGGGGCTCAATCAGCTCCAGGCTGTGTCCAGCTATGAGAGACAATGGGCAGGTGCTGTGGACAGAACTGAGAAGCCACTTACCCCATTGCAAACGCCCTTCTCTCCCTGTTATTGCCAAGCCCCCACCCATGTGTCTGACTGCGGCCCACAGCCCCAGGAAGGGTGGAGGCAGAGCCCAGACACACCTTTGGCCACATCATGGCCGTCGTACTTGTAGTCGTGGCTGCCGCAAGTCCAGGACATGTCGTCCATGGTGAAGGACTCGTTGGAACGCAACATGATTACTTCGATGGCACTTGACTTCAGCAGCACGATCTGGTCCTCAGAGGTGAGGTCTCTGCCAGGGAGGGCAAGGGAGGAGGTCAGGTCAAGACTTTCAAGTCATAAAATCAGTTTGGTGTTTTGACAGGTATACACCTGCCAGGTGACCAGCATGTGCTCTGAGTGCTCCATCGAGGAGCTTGCAGCCTGGTTGGAAAGGACAAGAGTGTTCGTTGAGAGAGCACGGAGAAGGACTGTGATCATGTGTCAAGGTGAGAAGGGAAGTAGCTCAGTTACCAAGACAAGGAAAACCCAGTGACTGCACAGCCAGAGCGCTCAGAGACAGGAAGATAAAGCCTGAGAAAGCCCCAGTGCTGTGGTATAACATGGTGGTCTGCAAATGGTATGGGCAGGGTCATCTTCGACAACTCCCACGTTTCGTTTTCTTCGCCCTCCTCCTGTTCTCCAGTCCTTCTTAGTAGCAAACTCAGGCAACTCTGTCTCTAGGCCATCTCTCCAGCCCTTGACCTCAGGCCCCCTGCCCCCAGGACTGCTCTGGCTCAGAGCTCTGTCCTCTTTTACAACAGCCTCCTCCAGAATCTTGGACTCAAGTTTCACGTCTCTCATTCATCTTTCTTACTGCCGCTACAGGTGAATGTCACTCTGTGCTCATAAATCCTCACTGACTCTCAAACACGCCAGGATCAAGCCCATACTCCATAACTCGGCTCCAGCCTGGCTTTCCAGCCCCCTCTCCCATTGCAAACTCCACTGACCCTCCATTCTAGCAATATCGGGCTACTCTGCATTCAGATGCTGTGTGTCCTCACACCACCATGCCTTTGAGCAAACTACAGCTCCAGCCAGGAATACCCTTCTAGTGCTCCATCCTGACTTTCTGGTCCCTGGAGTCTCCGCCCTCCAATTCTCTTCAGCGTAAGTAGAGCCATTTCTTTCTGACCCATTGTACATTGCTGCTGCCCCTATTTTGCCCTTTCCCCTCAGCTCTGTTATTTATAGGCTTGTCTCTGGCTGTTTTCTTTTATTTAAAAAATTTTTTTTTAGAGACAGGGTTTTGCTCTGATGCTTAGGCTGGAATGCAGTGGCATGATCATATTTCACTGCAACCTCCAACTCCTGGGCTCAAGTGATCCTCTTGCCTCAGCCTCCCAAGTAGATGGGACTGTAGGAGTACATCACCATGTCAAAAATTTTTCTATTTTTTATAGAGACAGGGTCTCACTATATTGCTCAGACTGGTCTCAAACTCCTGGCCTCAAGTGATCCTCCTGCCTCAGCCTCCCAAAGTGCTGGGATGATAGGCATAAGCCACCGCACCCAGCATCTGACTCTTATTTGTAAGGTACTTGAAGGCTAGCACCACTTCTTAATTACATAACTGTTGTTCACACACTGGTCATTGAGCCCTGAGCACAATAAGAGGATCAATAAATATGTGCTAATGAGTTGAGAAGAAAATGCACTATTCTTTTTTTTATTTTATTTTATTTTTATTTTTGAGACAGAGTCTCACTCTCTTGCCTGGGCTAGAGTGCTGTGGCGTCAGCCTAGCTCACAGCAACCTCAAATTCCTGGGCTCAAGAGATCCTCTTGCCTCAGCCTTCTGAGTAGCTGGGACTACAGGCACACGCAACTGTGCCCAGCTAATTTTTTCTATTTTTAGTTGTTTGGCTAATTTCTTTCTATTTATAGTAGAGGTGGGGTCTTGCTCTTGCTCAGGCTGGTCTCCAATTCCTGAGCTCAAGCAATCCTCCCACCTCGGCCTCCCAGAGTGCTAGGATTACAGGCGTGAGCCACCGCGCCCGGCCAGAAATGCACTATTCTGAATCACAAGTCACATTGGACTTATCTGAACAATAGCAAGGAAAAAACAGGGCCACATTTCAACTTGCTTCCAAGCTTTTATTCCCATTCTCTTCCTGTCTGCTTCCTCCTGGACATCCTGTAGATGGTCTGTCATCCCCCCTGTGGCTGAATGTTGGTATGTAAGGCAGAAAGCAGATATCAGCTGATGAGAGTTTCGTATCAGCAGGTGACAGATGATGGGGCATGAAAAGGCTGGTGTGATCAGGGCGCCAGCAAAGCATCTGTATGGAAAAAATCACAAAGTGCTGGAGTTGGAAGGCTCCTCTTAGAGACTGTGTGGTCCAATTCCTCCTCCAGCATTCCTGACAGATGGCTCTGACATAGCCCCTGCAGGGTTCTCCTGCTGTCAGGGAGCTCACGCCTGTGGATACAGCTACGGGTTGTCAGAGCCTGGGTTAATGGCCTCTTCTTCTGTCGAGCTACAACCCACATGGTGATGTACTCATTCGTTGCTTATAGTTTTGTACTCTCGAGGAGCACAGAACCAGACTTCTCCACTGGCCATGGGACTTCCTTTCAACAATGGCTAGTGGAAGTTTTCCTTTAAAAGAAGACTACCATGTCCTCCCTCCGTCTTCTCCAGGACAGACAGTCTAATGACATGGTGTCTAAACCTCTCACCATCCTTGTCACTTTTCTCTAGATGCTCAATCTGCATTTGAAATATAAAAACTAACACCACCCCTATTTTAGTTTTAACTTGTTATACAAGTAAAACATTTATTATCACATCTTTGGAAAATACAGAAAAAATATAAAAGCATATGAAAATTGCTCACAACCACAGTTAACATTTTGGTGTATTTCCTTCCTATCCTTTTTCTATGAAAAATATATATGTTTTGAACATACCTGAGTTCATACTAACTCTGTATCCCACTTCCTATATCATTTAACATCCTTTAGCCCAATTCTTAGTGGGTTACATAATGTTACATCATAGCAATACACTATATGTTGTTTAATCAGTCTCCCATGTGCCTATTTTTGGACATTTTGGCTGCTTCCTCACTTTTGCTGGGTAATTCTGTGTGGGATATCTTCGTACATAACACATTGTTCAATGCCCCACTCAGACTGGATGGCCTGTGGTGAATACATGCTCCCTGGGTGTGTGGCCAGAGAGATTTCAGTGGGATCACTGCTTATGGTGATCCAGAATACTACTGCCATCAAAGCAAACCTAAAACGACGTCAAATTACCACCCATAGCCTGGAAAAACAAGGACTTTCTAAGTGCAGGTCATAGCCAGAAGCAGGGATGATGGTGGGTGGGAGTCGAGGCGGCATGAGGGGAAACCAGTCAGGGAGCTTGCCCTGCGATAGCAGGCTCAGCCCGGGCTCTGTGCCTCCCGCCTGACCTGTGTGATGTCCACACCCTGGCACCGTGTGGCTGCCTCGTCCTCACCACCCCCACAGGCAGAGCCCAGCACCTCCTCTCCGGGATTCCCACGGTACCTCTAGCAGGTTTCTAGCAGAGCTCTTATCTCTCTGCAGCAATTGTTTACATGTCTGTCTCTTTCATCAGACACTGAATCTCTGGATGCCAGGGACTGGGATCTAGCTGACTTTTATCCCTCGCAGTTTACATAAGAAGGCAATTTGTTGGATGGATGAGTAAACAAATGTGGAGAAAGGGGCATAGGATGAGGGAAGCATGGTGACCCCAGGCCTTTGGCCTGGGAAGGAGCCCTGGAAATGGAAATGGCAGTGGAGTGGAAGGTTTTTAGCCTGGGTCAGGCTCCAGCTGATGTGGCCTTATCTCTTGTGCACTTGACTCAGTAGTGAAGCCTGAAGGTCCTAAGTCCTCCAATCTAAGGCTGCTCCTGGCCATTTGCATGCTGCTACTGACAGCACCTCCTCCATGCCTTTCTTTTGCAGCAGTGCCAACAAGGAGAGAGATTTGTGGGGTGAGGCTGAGAGGCTGAGGGAGGGAGGTGGGAGGAGGGAACAAGGCCAAGGCCGCAGTTCACGCCCAGAACAGTCCATCCAGTCCTGCCCCACATTGGTCTCACGCTTGCATGGGAGACTCATCCTGCCCCCCTCCCCACTCACCCACATAGGAGTCTCATCCTGCCTTCCCCACACCCTCCGCCTCTGCCTACAGGCAGCTAGATCAAAGCCACGAGGGAGGCAGCCACTGTTCTTTCAGTTCCTGGAAAAACAGAACCCAGCAGAACCAGAGAGCTGCTGGGCTAGCCCCACCTGGGCCCAACTGGAGCCTGGGCTTGGGCTCCAGTCCAGGCTTGGCATCACCTCTGTCCAGCCACAGAGAGTGTCCACATCAGTGTGTCCCCCTCCCGCCTGCCAGGAGCTCTTGCCAAGGCTGGAACCATTTTCACTGGACGACGTTCTGCTCTGGGACTTTTCAAGTCATGCTGAAGAGAGAGAAGCCAACTCAGGGATGTTCAAGATCAATTTAACCCATTTTGCGTCAATGGCTGGGCAGCTCCAGTACCTGCCCATATGCACCTCACTTTGGCCATGACTGCAGGGCTAGACTGGGGAACCTTGGGGAAAGTGAAGAAAGGAAGGTGGCATGCTTCAACTCCACCTTGGGGAGAGAAATTGAGGGGAGGGTGGTGCTATTCATGTCAGGTGTGGGGGAAGGTAAGAGACAGTGGCCAAGGGTATGGGGTGAAATGGAAGCTAGGGTTACTTGGTGATGGGGGCAGCATTGGGGTAATCTGGTTTAATAAGTAACTTTCCCTTTTGGACAGTTTTCCCATGTGTGCCATCCCAGCCACCACCTAGAATCTCTGAACCTTGGTGTCTGGAGCTCGGGGGCCCTCTGTCCAATTCCTCACCAGAGCAGGGAAAGATGAGTCCTGTGTAGGTGAGGACAGCTGCCTGGCATTAGGGAGGATGCCAGTGCTACAGTGTTTTTCCTCTAGCTGTTTACACAAAACAAGACTTTGGAATACATGGACTTTGCAAACAATAACGTGAAGCATGGAGGAGGGAGTTGGAACTTGTGCTCAGTGGAATGTGTCCTCAGTTCCAAGGAAAGGCTCTGAGGGTAAACCGCAGGCCCAGCACGATGCCGGGCTCACAGATCAGTCATTTGCTCCTGCCTGCCTGCCAGAGGAGCCCTGACTCCTGTTATTACAACCAAAATGTGCCATGCAGCAAGAGTGTCTCAATACCGTTTGATGTTTTTCTCTTCTTCACAATTTTTGCATTCATTTCAGGGGAACAGCATTGGAGAGTTTCTGGTATTTGGGTTGGTAAGAGGCATAAAATAACACGGAGCCAGTTGTTTTCAGGCAGAAACAAACTGGGAGTGTTGGGTCTAATTCTGTGATTTACCATCAACCAGCTGGTAAGGTGGGGATTTAGACAATAACGAATAGGCCTCCCGACACAGCAGAGGGGTCCTCAAAACAATAAATGGCACCTCATATTAGTTCCTATGCAGAACTGGCCAATGTTAATGCATTTTCCAGTTCCCAGTATTCCAGCACTGAGTCTGAGCACCAGTATCTAGGAAGCGTTCTGCCTTCTGCTGTAACTACAGCTATTGCTACTACTTGAAATGATAATAATATTGCCTGATACTGATTTATTTCTTTCTGTTGTTCAACTACATTGTGTATGTTTTTTATGGCAATGTACCAAATGACCATTTGGAAAGAACAAGGCGATATAACTATCTCCCAACATATCTACTAAACTTGCCAATACTCTATTGTTTTAAGAATATTTAACATTGCATAAATATTTTAACATTGGTATTAATACAACAAAACATGGGAAGGAATGAGTGAAATTTGTATGAATGAGTCCATAGAGGAGGGTCCCTGCTCCAGTAGAATTCCTTATTCCTATCTATTTGGGCAAAAAGGTTTCAGTTTGGTTAGGAAATATCTTTAAATGTAAATTTTGGTGACGGATGCCCAGGTCATATGTGCCGGCAAACCTGTCTCCCTCTGGCACTACTATACTGTTTCATGAGTCCATGTGGCCAAGCTTTCTCTTCTCTATCGTTTATTCTGGTCTTAGAACTGGGTGTGGAGGAATAATGCAGGTTGAATTTAAAGGGATAACATGAGGATTAGAGTCAAGCCAGCGGGAGTGGACACAGCAGTGAACTGGGAGTTCCAAGCCTGGCTCAGACACGCTGGCTGCAACACCAGGAAGGGACCCTGGCTGGCCATCAAACCTCTCTGGGCTTTTGTTCCATCACCGAGAAAGTGAGGGGATGGACTAGCTCTCCAGCACTGGCCCACAGAGCAATACAGGATGGGCTGCACTTCCTAAAATACAGATTCCTGGACCCACCCCAGAGACTCTGATTTAGGAGGTCTGGATGGGGCCTGAGTCTATTTGGGGAAAGCAGTGGACTGGTGGTCTCCAAGCCTTCTTCCAGCTCAGCCAAGGGTTCTGACTCTGCTCCCAGAAGTCACAGAAGCTTCTTACCTGAATCCTGGGATCATCTTGGCAAAGCCGATGACCTTTTGGATGCTATAACTGACCAGGTCAGCCAGGTGGGGCAGCATGGAGAGCTGGGACAGGTCCAGGGTCACAGAAGGGTCATCTGAGTCCTCTTCATTCAGATCCAGGTTGGAGAAGCTGGACGGCTCCATCATGTCTGGGAAAGATGGGGGAAGAGAAGGAGCTATTTGAGGACACTCAGGTCAGGCCCCTCCTGCCCGCCGCTGTGTGGACCTCGCGTGCCCTGGCAGCGGGGCCAGCTGGGACCCCACAGTGACCACCTCTCTCCGCAGGTCACTCTTCAGCCCCAGGTTCCCTCTGCAACTCTCGCAGTCTCTTTTAGCAGTGGGAGGCAATGAAATCAAAGAGCCAGACATACTCAGAGAAATAAGACTCCCTCAAGCCAGGATTTTTCATGCATTGTTCCCCATGATCTCAATCAAAAATGAATTTGGGCCCAAGCAAGCCATGGGAAAAAATGTCCAACCTCACTAGTGATCAAAGAACTGCAAAATAGAATGTCTACACTTTTCACCTGTAAGCTAGAAATGACTAGGTTTACATGTTGATGCCAGTATTTGTAGAGATGCAGGGAATTAGGCAATCCTTATGCAGGGCTAGGGTGCTAAGGGAGGTGTACTTTGTGCAGGAAATCTAGAAAACCATCTGGCACTATGGGTCCAAAGCCTACAGTTGTGTGTACTCTCTGACCAGTATGTCTACTTCCATGAATTCATCATGAGGAAAAAATCCAGAATAAGTGTAAATATTTAGCCACAAATATACCATCTTACTGAAAAGCTGGGAAACATGCTAGATATCCAATCCTTTAAAAAGGGCATTCTACATGTATACCAAATGATATGGAAATATGATACAATATACCATTAAGAGAAAAAAAGCAAGTCATCGGTCGTATACAGCACAATTCCATCTCTGAATACACATACATGTTTAAAAAAAAGATGGGAAAGAAATACATCATAGTGTCAACAGTGATTATCTTGGGTAGTAAAATTAAAGATTATATATATATATATATAAAATTTAGTTTATATTTTCTAAATGTCTATGCTGAACATGTATTACTTTTGTATAACAATGTTTAAAAAAATTTGAAAAATTAACTTGTTTAATTTTTATAGCTTTTATAATTTTTATAATTAAATAACTACAGTATTAATATATAGTTATTTAATTTTTAAATAACTATATGCTATACTGAACATACCATTGCTGGGAGTGAGCACTCTGAATCAATTAACCCATGAGAGGACATCAAAACTCTTAAATAATATGAAATTATTATTAAAAGGTGAAATATAGGCCAACGTATAGATTATACAGATTGCTCTTCATTGGTACAAATGAATATACCACCACGCGGAAAAAGCAGGAAGGCGGGTAGAGAAAAGTAGCACATGGGAAGGATCCTACCAGGTGAGGGTCTGGGAGGGTCAGTGCTTCTCTGTTGTGTCCCGCCCACTTCCCTCCTGTCACTTCTGGGTGGGCGGACACAATGTCTGGCTCTAACTGCTATCTCTGGCTCGTGGCACTTGGACCCCTTCTACCTGTTTGGGATCTGCGCACAGATCCGTCACTGAATCCGGAAGTACCATATCTCAGGGTTCAAGTTGTCCTCACAGGAGGGTGTTTTTGCATCCCTGCCCTTCTGGAGGCCCCAAGCAGAGGACACCAGGGTTTGGCAAGAAGTAGAAGGAGGAAGGACAAGGACAGGGGGAGGATGAGGCAGGATGATGAAGAGCAAGGTAGAAAAGGGCTGTAAGAAGAAAAGCACAATACCTCCCAGACTCTCAGGTGAGCTGGAGGTGACCGGTCTTACAGTCCCAGAGTGGTCCCCCAGGGCTCAGGTGGAGTGTGGGACGAAATGGGACCCACACGCTCTCCTTCCCACCCCAAATTTTACCTTCCGAACTGCCCAGGATCAATACACCATTTCAACAAATGAGGTCATCCCCAGAGAGGGGCCCTGGCCAGAAGCCTGGCTCAGAGGAGAGAGCACGGCTCAGGAGCCTGACCCTGCACAGCCGGAACCCCAGCTTGGCCCCTTTCCCAATGTGGACCCGTGGGCTAGTCACCCCTCATCTGTGCAAGAGGAGTTGTTTTGAGGACACTGTGTGGCACTCAGTATATAAATACTGCTCATGTCAGGGAGCCTTCTGCCTCTTTCGGTCCACAGCCCAAAGGCAGCTGGGTCCTGCTTACCTGGAGAGATGATGTAGTGATCTGAGCAGGAGGAGGAGGAGTCCCCGGAGAAGCCGGCAGTGTGTCTTGAGTTGGGCCTGGAAGGAAGGCTCCCTCCACCCTCACCTCCACGAACTGGAGGCTGGAAGGGAAAGGCAGGGTCTCAGAGACTCACATTTTGGGGCCACTTTCCTACCTTGGCCCTTGGCCTTTGATCTGTCATAGGAATGGCTTCGGCAAAGGTCCATGGGAGGGGAGGCCTCCTGGTACCGAGGGGCAGAGCAGCTTCCATCCCTTCTGCTGGCTCTGTGCCAGGGCACCCCTTGCCCTCCACTCCCACTCCCTGTCTCCTCCAGGTCAGCTCATCCTGCCGGCCAGCAGGCGGACGTACCCGGAACTGGCTGAAGTCAGCATAGGTGGGGTCGTAGGTCTTGTGGTGGGCGTCCAGCAGGATGGTGATGATGTGCTGCTGCTCCTCGGACAGCTTGGGCCGCAGACTGTCCTTCAAGGCCTCCTCCTCCTTTCGCTTCAGGATCATCTCGCGCTTCCGCTGCACCTCCTCATCCGTCAGGATGACTGTGGGGGTCGTGGGGGGGTTGGTCAGGAGGGCTGCAGCCCCTCCAGGAAACCTTCCTCCATCATTAAAGGCCCAAGATGGGAGGGGCTTCAACACCCGGGGCTCCCTGTGGGGGGGCCCCCCGCCACAGAGACTCCGACTCCACTGTATGGAGGAAAATGGGGTTTTCTATGATGAAAAGGAAGGTACATGCAGGAGAAAAATGAGAGAATTTAAGAGAGGGATGGTCAGGGCGTCAGGAAGGCTGGGTTCTCAAGAATGCGTTGTGGGACCTGGGGCAAACTGTTTCAGCTCTCTGGGGTTTTGTTCTCTAGCTTGGAAAACGTGAGGTTTGGACCAGACAATCTCTTCTAAGGTCCTTTTCTTGTACCTTCCTCCATAAAGCGTGTGTGCATGCAGATGGAGGAAATAGTAACACCTACCTCAGAGGATCAACTGATTTGAGAACTGCATGCCTGCCTGGCACAGAGCAGATGCTCACTGAACGTTAGTGGTCTCCTTTTTCCCCCAGGCCCTCCCCACCGCGTTCCATGATCCCGAAGAAGACGTCAGGGTGGAGAGAGGGTGAAAGGGTAACTGTGGACACTCGGAGGGCTGGAGGCCGGGAGATGCTGAGGAGGCCCCTCTGCATGGCCGTTCCCACATCCAAGTTTCCAGACATGGAACTCGGGCATCTAGTCCACTCTAACCAATGGAGAAAGACGTGGCCTCTTTCGTTCTCTGCAAGACAACCCCTTCTGCAGCCTGTACAGTCTTGACATTTCTGCCCATGGGAGTTTTCGAGTCCTCTTGAAGGCCCTGAAGGCTGAGGCCTCACAGCTCTAACCTTGGAAGTTCTCTCCAGCCACGAGGCAGGGTGTTGGGCCACAGGGAGACTGTTGGCCACCTGCGGGTTTATGCAGGGGCTTGTGCCTGCCTCCTGGTGCTGGGGCAGCTGCCTGGGCAGGCGGGGCTGGGAGCAGGGATGCCTGGCACGGGGGCCAGGCAAACAGATCTCCTGGCCAGGGCTTGCAGAGCGCTGGCGGCAGGAGTGGGCACCAGGGCCCTTGGCCTGTAGCTACTTGCTCGGTGCTGGTGCTGCCAGAGCATCTGCCCACAGAGCTGGGGAGTTTCACAAGAGCAGGGAAAGGAACCAGAACCTCAGAGTAGGTGAGTGCCAGGCTTCAAGAAAGGCCCATTGGCCCAGGCCCCTCAGGTAGCGGGAGGACAAGAGAAGTTGGTGGAGGGTGTGGACGGCTGGTGCCACAGGCATGGCAGGAAAGGGAAGCCTACCGCAAAGACAGAGTGTCCCTCCCCAGCTGAGGTAGGCCCTACCAAGAGAGGGGCTGGGAGGAGGCCACGCCCAGGAGACTGACTCACCTGCCCAAAGAGCTGCCAGCTCTCCTCCCACGGAGGGCGTCTGCCCAGACCCTACAGGGTCACACAGGCTGGGAGCGGAAGGGGCAGAGAGCACCCCAGGGAAAGGCAGGGTGAAAGGGCCTAGCCTGGGGAATCCAAGATTAGGTGTCTGGTCTTTCCTGCTCACCTGAGGGGTGAGGCAGAGGAGATGGTGACACTGGATCTAGGGAGACCTGGCATGACACCCCATGCCAGGGTGTCTACAGGCATGTCCCTCGGCCTTACTGGACTTTGCTACGTGATTCTATGTTACTCTCCTGCTCTAGGCATGCTGGCATTGCTGACCTGTGGAGTGTGGCCTGCTCACACTTGCCCCTGCCTTTCCACCTGTGCTGGGTGCCTGTCCAGCTGGGTCTCCCCGATAACCATGTGAGCTCTATTGGTTCTTCAGTGCCCAGCCACAACCAGTCCTCTTTTGCCATGAAGCCCTTCGGGATTGCCCTGATCTGCACTGAGCCTCGTTTCTTACGCCTGCTGCATATTTCCCACACACGTTGGCGCCCAGTTGTCTTCCACTCTGTAGACTCGTGGTTAGTACCGGTTTCAGTCAGTGTCTACAGTGAGCCTAAGCAGTCCAAGGTCTCCCTAGACTGCAGGTTACTTAAGGGCAGGGGCCACATCTTATGATTCTTATGTTCCCCCCACAAAAGCTAATGCAGTGGGGCTCCCTGGCCATGGTTCTTGCTCCATAGTCTGACACCAGACAACAAGCACATCAACTCAGATTGCACCTACTGTGTGCGAGTCATTTTCCTGGCTCAGGAGGGGACGGTGAGCAGTGCTGCAGTACTGCCTGTGTCCTGCAATGCTGGGAATGGCACACAGCATGCCAGTCCAGAATTGTCCTTCAAGGCCTCCTCCTCCTTCCTTTGCTCATAGCTGAGCAAAGATGACCTCTTTCATCTTAATAATCATGATTAAAATCTTTTCAAGACAGAAAACCTTGTAACGGAACACTTGTAACATCATGTAACCTTTTCTTGATGATTCAGAGCTGAACTTTGGAGGACAAGGTTATGACCTCAGCGTTGTCTGGGGCTCTTTGCCCTCCACCGTGTGGCTCAGCCTGCTGTGCCTTGCAGTTCTTATGCGACTCTTCACAGCTTTCAGTGTTAGCTATGGGTTGTCTCTTCTTATTGGTGCCTGCCTCTAGAAGTGTGTCTTACTCCCCCTTAGGAGTGACTTCTGATTCTTAGCTAGAAATTCTGGTTATCGAGTTTGATGTAACAAAATGATAATATTAATAATCATGGATAATACATACAGAGTTTTTCTATGTACCAGGCACTATTCTAAATGCTTGTTGTATATTAACTCATATATTCAGTCCTCATAACAACCCTTTAAGGCAGGTGCTAGTGTTATCCCCATTTAGCAGACGAGGGAACTGTATGTCTTGCTCAAAGTCACACAGCTAACCAATGGTGGACACGGTATCCGGACCTGGGCAGTCTGTTCTGGAGCCAATGGTCATAACCACTACCCTATACCGTGTCTGCTTATAATCAGTTAGAACTGATCAGCAGAACTTGGCTCTCAGCCATACAGTCCTGTCCCATGAGGTGCTCCAATCCCTCTGAAGACTGTGAAAATGAAATAAAGTTGCAAAGCTTGTAAAGGATTTACTTTAAAAAGACAAAGAAGATTCAAGGTTAACCTTACAACATCCTTTCTCCCAGTCTCTTGTATCGAATAGGAGCCACCATCCTCTGTGTTGGTAACAGAGGAAGAAATGCTGAGATCTACGGGTTTCAAACAGGGGCACCCACTCACAGGCCTCCTGCAAGGCAACATTGTTTTGGGACAGAATAAGTCATAAGTCTCTCACATATGCAGATGCTATTGCAATTTATGAAATAATTTGTTTCAAGGAGTTATTAATTTCATAGGAAATTTTATAATCATTTTCTTAATGAATTGATACTAAAATGTTATTACTATCATGTTTGAAGACACGTTTCGAAGTTAAAAGGCACTGACCTAGAAGGAGAGTAAACAGGCTCTGAAAGAGTGTTTGCTGGGCTCTCCGATGAATAACGTGCATGAGCTTTGGCACGTAGCCTTTGTAAAACCTACTTGGCTGCTCAGTAGCTTTTGTGACTTCCTTCTAAGTGACTTGTTCAGTGTGAAATAATTTTGTGCGAGTTATTGTCATGCAAGAAATGTTCCCTGCCTAACAAAGTTGAAATCAAGTTGGGAAGTCAAGATCTGCAAACATAAACAATTTAAACATATTTCAAGATGCCAAGGGTGGCCTAAGGACAACAACAGGAAAGAGGACATAAAATTTTTCCAAATGAATGACACAGAAGTATCAGGTTTGGGAGAATCTTACTGATCTATAGACCAGTGGGAGATACAGAGATACAAAGAAGCATAAGGGGGAGCTAAAATTCATTCATTCATTCAACATGTACTTACTGAGCACCTACTATGTGCCGGGTGCTGTACTGATAGTGGGGAGAGAAGATACACATCTGTAAAAGCAAGTTAACATAATAGATTGTTCTGTGTAGAACAGATTTAGTATAAGCAAGAAGCAAGAACTCAACTATGAAATTTCTTGAGTTCCAAAGGCATAAAGTTAACAAAGACTTGAAGGGAAAGAAAAGTAGTCTTCCATGGGAACAAAGCTCTCTTCAGCACATCTCTTAGGGCCCCAGGAAGTGCCCAGAAATGCACAATGGAGTGAGCTCTGATGCACTGGGAGCACCCGAGGGGCTGGCCTGGGGTGCAGCCCACAAGCCTGGCCTTTGGAAAGAGACAGACCTAGGTTGGAATGAATGCTGATACTATCATCTTATTAGCTCAGAGGCATGATATGATATTTTAATTCCCCAAGCTTCCTCTCAGCTATTTAAAAAATAGAAGTATTTACATATTTAGAGTGTTGTGAAAATTGAAGAAGAAAATGCATGTTCCTGACATAATATCTGATACACAGTAGATAGTCAATAAATTTTAGATTCCTTCCTATGCCTCCTCTGTGCAAGGGCCCTCTCCCTGCCCTGGCCAACAGGGAGCCTCAGTTTTTAGCTCCCTTCCTGTGGTTTTACAAATGTTAAGACATTCAGTTTTCTCTGGGACAACAGCCAGCCCAGGTGATAAATAAGCAGATATACTATCAAGTCCGCTGAAGCTGGGCTAACTTGAGGCAGGGAACTGTATCTTTTCCTGGACGACCTTCCCTATGGGGCAGTGGAAAGCACCAGCTTTGTGCTGGCCCGACGCTTCTGTTTTAGCTGGAGCTCTAGGGCCCAACCCTGGGAGCCCCACCCCAGCAGCCCGTCCACAACTTGGTACAGCTCCCTACACCGGGATCACAGGAATGCTGTGGACAAGGGGCTCCCCTGGGTGTACAGCAGGCCTGGGGACTAGGCTGGGTGGGGGTGGCTGAGGCACTCAGCTGATTTGGGGATGCACTTCTGGGCTGCTGGCCCCCAGCACATGGTGGGGTGCTCCTGGGGCAGGGGCCCCGAGTCACCCAGGGCCTGGTGCTGTTCTTCGCCATGGACACAGTGCTCTCTGCTGGGACAAGCAAGGGTCGAGGGGGGTGCACGGAGTTGGATTCTAGCCCCAGCTCAGCCCCAGCATTTCTGACCCCAATCCTGGTGGTGTTACCTCTCTGAGTACCAGATGTTCTTCCTATTCTAAGTTAATAGCACATCCCCTTCCTCCAAGACATGGGAGTGGGGCCTGTCATGCATCAGGGAGCTTGGCCCTGTTGGGGACTCCTGTGGCAGCACCCTACTGAGCCCCAACAGTAAAACCCCCTGCCGTGCTTGGTCGGGGGCAGCCTCAGAACCCAGGCTCCAGCCCTGTAGAGACCTGTGCTCTGCCAAGACAGGGGCTGTGCCGAATGCACCTGTTTATGCGTGCCCCGGTGCCACTCTGAGCAGGCCCCATGAAGAATGTGTGCAAAGGCCCACAGGCACTCCACTTTTCACTCTCTCCAAGATAAATGCTGGAGTCGGGTGGGGCAGGACGGGGGTAGGTGAGGTCGGCATGTCCAGGCCTGCGCACTCCTGTGAGGGTGAGGAGGAGCGAAAGCCTGGAAAGTCCTTCCAGGGCCACCAGCATTGGCTGGGAAGCCGATCCACAGTGAGGAGTTGGGACCCCCAGGAGAGGAGCCTTGGTCCAGGCCCGAGGAGGAGGCTGGAGGTGAGGGCCTCCACTCTGCCTGCTCCCCAACAATAGATAATTAGCTTTCCCCTTAAGGAAGAAATTTTCCATCCCCTAAGCCCCATCCTGTGACTGTTCCCCTGTTCCTGACACATCTTCCTGGTACCTGTCTTCTCTCCATCCCCCAAGAAAGGTCCTGTAGCCAGGAGGGCTTGCATCTGAGCACCCTGCTAAGACACCTCAGGCCCACGGCTGGCAGGGCCTGGGCTCTGTCCTAAGGCTGGACGGGGGTCCGGGTGCAGATGCAGACAGCAGCGAGTGAGGGAGGCAGAGCAGGGACGAGTGTGCAGGGGCACCGCTGCCAGGGCTGGCCCAGTTTCTGGCTCCAGCCCAGGGACAGCCTGGTGCGCCCCTCCTGCATCTGCCGAATTCAATGGCTACTTTGGTTACCAAATAACTGTACTACAGCTCCGATGCAAAGTCCAAGTGTTGTTTTCAATGGTGGGTCAGAACACCCCTGTAAATCTACCATGTTGGACAGGAAGTCCTATAGGATCACCCCTTTTCCCCCACCTGGATTCAGAGGGCCATCCTAGAGCCCCATTGCTTCCCCTCGCAGACCCTTTCCCCTGGTCTCCCCCAGCCACCAGCCCTCAGATCTGCTCATGGGGCCAGTGTGGCCAGAAGTCTCTGGTGGGGCGGAGCATGGATGCCAGCTACGCTCCGAATATTTATTCTCTCCATCACTCCTGCCCTTCCAGCCCACGGCACTCTCTCTCCCAATGTCCAGAGACCCCTGGGGTCCTTGAGCCTCATTCTTTCTTCCACGTCCAGGGAACAGGGAGCTGTGGGAATATGATGATGTCCTGGAGGAAGACTCTGACTAAGGAAGCGGGGACTCTTGAAGACCATGCCCTGCCTCTCCCTCCTCTCAGGCCTCACTGCAGAGGGGCCCTCCTGGGGCCTCTGAGACACACACACAGATCACAGAGAGGCTCACAGGATTGCTTGGTGCATTTGACCCTGCAGTCCCAGCTGCCCTGCTGCCAGCCGCTGGTCCCACTCACGCCCCAGCCACAGATGCTGGCGGCTACAGAGGAAAGGAGGTAGACCTCTCTGCCCAAACCCACATGGCAGGGGCCAAGGCCCTCCCCTCACCCTGCCCAGCCCCCTGGACACTCACACTCCTTCATCATGCCGATGTCCACGCAGCGCTTGAGCCGGCAGGCCTGGCAGTGGCGCCGGTTGTCCTTGGTGATGCGGCAGTCCCCGTTGAAGGGACAGGTGAATAGCGCCTTCCGCTTCATGCTTCGCCTGCAGAGAGATCACATGCCCTGCCCTGGATCACTGACCTTCTGGCTCCTCAGCCCTGACTGCAGAGAACAGCCTACCAGGGCTGCGACCACAGAGACCTGCACAAGAGGCCCCCAGACCTCCTTCCCTCCTGGCCGCTGGGCCACACTCACTTCCAGGCTGGGCGCCCCTGGCCCTTCCTCCTCCTCTCATTGCCTGCTCGGCCCCCATCACTGCTTGTACTTACTTTACTTGTACAATCTCTGCTCCCTCCGTCTTAAAAATTACACAGTAAATACATGAATAAATTTTTTCTAGTAAAAACGTGTTAAAATACTGAAATCTGCATGGTAGCCCTCATAATGTCTTATAATGAGCTATTGTGAGAGACAAGGGGACTAGTCTGAGCGTTAAGTCTTCTAGAGTCCAAGAGATCTGTGACTAGAACATTCCCCGTTCCAGAGATAGACGTGTGCATGGAAGGGAGAAAAGGCCCAAGCCACAGCTCCAGGTATCTAGAGAACCTGCCCAGAGAGGGAAGAGGCCAGATGAGCAGGTGGAAGCCCTGAGGTTTGGCCTTGGCTTTCTGAAAGGCAAAGGAAGCAAGGGCTCTGTAAGAACAGAAAACTACTGAAGTGTTCTTAGCTAGGAAGCTGGTACCCCTGGTATCCTACATAAAACTGTACGTGCGTGTGCACGTGCAAGCTTGAGGGCTCATTTCCTAATTCTGACGTTCTCTCCCACTGCCAGCCACACCACATGGACTTTGTGAGTCTGCAACAGCACACTTTCCCAGAGGCTTCTCATCGTCCATGTCCTAGAGGCTCCTGTTCCTCCCCCCAGCCTCACTAGGGACAGGCCCCACTTTTTTGCCCCAGAGCAGGTGACATGTTAGCTGGGGAATGATGGTGGCAAAATCACTTTCTGTATGAGCAGCAGCCCCTTCCAAGGAGCTGCTGAGTGTGGAGGAGCCCAGGCCTTGGAAGCAAAGGCCCAGCCGCAACCCTTTCCCTCCCAGAGATGAGCTAGTAACATCGTCTTCTCCAGATGTCAGACACTAGTTACGATTCTTGGTAAAACAAAAACGACTTGCTGCTCATGATCACGAGAACACACACAGGGTTTAGGACGATCGCACTCATCAGTTGACAGACTTGCTCCAGCAAGGGGACAGATGGGGACCAAACCAACTTGACCAGTGGGATAGTGCCGAAGAGACCAGTGTAAGGCTCTGCTGGCAGTCACAGGCAGACTCTTAGATCCACAGTGGACCCAAAGGACCATTAGCGTAACCCCCTCATTTTATAGATGGGACCACCGACAGTGAGAAATTTATCAGTCAGGCTATTCAGCAAAAAGTTAAGGCTTCTAGGTCTGGAAGTCTTAGGGATCTGAGGCTCAGCTTTTAGCTTCCTGGATTGTTTCCAACCCCAGAAACGTCAAGCGCTGCATGGACATCGGCATGATGAAGGAGTGTGAGTGTCCAGGGGGCTGGGCAGGGTGAGGGGAGGGCCTTGGCCCCTGCCATGTGGGTTTGGGCAGAGAGGTCTGCCTCCTTTCCTCTGTAGCCGCCAGCATCAGTGGCTGGGGCGTGAGTGGGACCAGCAGCTGGCAGCAGGGCAGCTGGGACTGCAGGGTCAAATGCACCAAGCGATCCTGTGAGCCTCTCTGTGATCTGTGTGTGTGTCTCAGAGGCCCCAGGAGGGCCCCTCTGCAGTGAGGCCTGAGAGGAGGGAGAGGCAGGGCATGGTCTCATTGAAGTTGAGACCATAGGCAAATAGCTGCATGTGGCTGGCCCTTGAGCGCAGCTCAAGGCCAAAAATGACCCAGTGGTTGAGGAAGCACCTGCTGTTGGCTTTGGACTTTGGCTCTGGCACCCTCCTGTGACAACCTCATCACCCAGGGGCCACCAGCAGAGCTGGGCTGCAACGAGGTGGAGTGGCCCCAGGCTGTCAGGGGGCGATGCTGTCCTACCCGGCAGTAACCAGCCAGAGAGAGATTATATGCCAGGCTTTTGTCTTCCACCTTTACAGAAACAAGAAGGCTTTCGCCTTTCACCTCTATACCTCTACTGCAGCTTTCCAGAGGGACAGGAGAATATGGAAGCCCCCTGTGCACTGTTAGGGCTCCAGGTATGAGATACAGTCGTCACTATAGGGCCCATTTGTAATATTCCAGGACAGGAGAGTGGAAGAGTGGTGGCCCTCCTTTCTCCTTTCCCCCCTTTCCACCTAGTGGCTCTTGAGGCTTCACCTGTTACCACAAACGCTTAGGCCCCAGAATGCCCATAATTCTCTAAAGATACTCACCGACCAGTATTTTCTAGTTCAGAGATAATTCTCATTTTTTTTTCTTTTTATATTTTAACAACCAGGCACCTTGCCCCGGGGCTGAGGGATTGCTCTATCCTTCCACCCACCATCTTGTCTGGCTCAGAGCTCTTCCTGTTAAGCCTCCAGGGCCATTGGCACCAAGAGCACACATCACCTGTGGGCCCAGTAGGCGCCTCCAGAGATACGAGCCGAAGCCTCTCACAGCCCTGGGCTGGGTGGGGGCTGCGAGCTTCCCAGGGTCTGAAGCCCAATCTCGGGATTCCACACACTGGAAGGTTGGAGACAGCCACTGGCTCGACTTCCCCTGACAACAGGAATGGACTCCAATGAGGCTGGGAGTAGGGATAAAAACTAATGCAGAGCTGGGTTATAAGAAAATACTGGAGGGGGAAACCCCAGTGCCCTTGCTTCCTGCTTAAGAGTCATAGTCCGAAGGCCAAGAGCATTGAAAAAGGAGAAGAAAACAGCACCACACTCTGGAGAGTGGGGTCAGTGCGCAGGGGATGGAGAACTCTCCCGCCTGCTCTGACAGACCCAAGTCCTTCCCGGAACCCAGATCCCAGAGCTGGCCTTTCAGGCGTGTCTGGCCCAGTGTGGCTTTTTGCTAGGCCACAGGTCCTGTTGGCTCAGAGGTCCTGTTCTTTCCTGTTCTGCTGCCTTCTAAGGGCACTTCCACACATGTGGCTGTCATTTAGTCTCTGCCCACAAGGAGTCGGGGCAGCCAGACTGCCCAGCCCTGGCTCTGCGCTTTGTCCTGAAGATCACACCCCACCTTGCTTTCCTCCCAGTGCTAATTGCCTATGAACTAGTTCGGTTTTGAGAAACAAGAGCCTTGGGTTTCCATGGGAGCCCATTTCCTCAGCTGCTCTCTGAGCCTGAACCCTGTCATCCTCTGGGAGGTTGGCAATTATACCCTGCTCAGGAAGGGGGGTAAGGGTGGTGCAACCAAGCTAAATATAGATGCAGTTTCTAGAAAGCCAGGGGTGAGAGAGGACATTGACTGACTCTCATGCCAGAGACCCATTTATCCAAACACAAAAGAAACAAGAAGCTCACAAAAGCATCAAGTGCCTAGGGCCAGGGCCTCAGGCCTGAGACAGTAGGGCCTTTCTCCAGTAGGTGGCCTCTGCCAGCAGAGACACACCTTGCGTAACCCAAGCCTGGGGTCAAGTACCCCGTCTGGGCTCTGTCTCCACTGCAGCTGCGTGTCACAGAGATCCCAGTGCCTGGGCAGGATACAGGAGCTAGATGGAGCTGCTGATCTGAAAGACCTGCGTGAGGTGATGGGAATGTTAGCAGCTTCACTGTGGCGATCATTTCACAACACAGACATATGGCAAACCATCGAGCTGTACACCTTAAATAGAGGCCATTTCTATTTGTCAATTACACCCCAGTAAAGCTGGAGGAAACAAAAAAAGAAAGACCCATGTCACCTGATTGGGGCCGAATTTGCATGTGGCAGCATCAAGAGGTTCTCAACAGGTGGGTTTAAAAAAGCTTTATGCAAATTGACCAAGGGGTTGAAAAAAATAAAAAACTAAAATAAAATTTTAAAAAGCTTTAAAGGAAGATTAACACTGTAGTGAGGAGCATAGCCTTCTTTTTTTTGGAAGGCAATTTAGCAATATGCATCAAACATGCTAAATGCAAAGACACTTTTAACATGGTAAATTCGCTTCTAGGACTTTATTTTGTGGGTAGAGAAGTCTGTGGGCCCAAGGGTAGTTACTGCAGCCCTCCCTGGAGAAGCCAAAGACTGTACCGAAATGCCCATCAAGGGAGGACTGGTTTGTTATGTGATAGGACCTCCATACACCGCAACGTGACTGTCAAAAAGGCAAGGAAGAATGCTGACATGGGAACCAGCTTGAAGAAATGTTCTTTAGCAGATAAAAGCAAGAAGCAGAATGGTGACTATAGTATGCTCCCACCTGTATGCGCACATGCGTGCACACACGCACACACACACACACATACTCATACACACTCATAAAAAGTCTAAAAATGAACACAGTGATCTGGTAACAGTGATAGCTTCTGGCAGGAGGTAGGGAACTGAGAATTGGGCTCAGTAGGAGACTTACTTTTCACTTATATACCCTTTTAAACTGTTTGCTTTTTAAAAACCATATATAGACATTACTTTAAAAAATTGATATCCACTTCGAATATTTAAAAAATAAAAATGAAATACAGGCTTTGGTTTGATTGATTTGCTTGAGTTTAAATCCGGATGCACAACCTTGGCAAGTTACTTAACCTACCCATGCCTTGGTTTCCACATCTGTAAAATGGAAACAACCCTACAGAGGGGGGTCATTGTAGGGATTAATTAAAGGAAAAGGGAACAGGATCAAGACAAAGGAAGCACTAAACAAAGGGAAGGGAGAGAAACCGGCAGGGAGAGGCAGTGGCAGGGACTGCTGAAGAGTGGCCAGAGATTGTAACCATCCCAGTGAGACTCTGAGACCCTAGAGGCAGACACCATGTCTTACACCTGCCACCTGGTGCCTAGCGTAGGACTCTGCAGGTGGAGTTTTACAAGTTGTTCCTGATGTCTAGACCCACAGACCACTGTCCAGTTCTGCTGAGCACCAGCCAGTTCCCACTGAGTCTGACTGACATGAAGCTCTCTCAGAGATCCCAGCCCAGCCCTTCTTTTCTCACACCTGATATTTAACGCCT